ATACCAAAAAGGAAAATTTGACTAACTTTTTAGAAGTCATTTTAGTGCTTTTCAAACAGAACCTAAAAGAAAATAATTTTCAATTCCAATGAAGCAAACGGATTATTTGTGTTTGAGATTAATTTTATTGGCTAATTACATTATAAATTGGTCGTGCGATTCATTGTCATTTTTAGTAATAAATTTTTCATGCAAATAGTGTTTTTATTAAAAAGAATTTTAAAAATAAAAGTGTTACTAAATATTTTACCAAATGTTAATGTGGCATGTATTTTGTTGATGAAAATATTTTTTGACATGACACATTATGATTAGTTGATTGTATAATTAAAATATTATTTAATTTGACAATAAATCAACCACAATATATTAAATTAGGAAATACTTTTACTTCCAAAATTATATCAACCATTTTTTTGAAATTGTAATCAATTTAACAAATCCAACATTTAATGTGTATTTAGTAAACAAGATTTTTTTTAAGCGTGGTAGGATAAGCTTTTGAGGAAGACCTTTTTGTGATTTTGGTATCAATCGATGAATTGTGCACAATTCCATGCATTGCCACCATTTGAACTAAGTACGCTAATTGTGCATTTGTGCTTTTTTTTTTTTTTTTTTTTTTTTTTTAAAGACAAATAGTTGAAAATTAGTTTTTAATTATATTAAATTAGCTTGAAGTTACCAAGGACTTTGTGGTCCAATGGTACCAAGTTAAACTCTCGGAGGTGCTATTGACTCTCTGTGCTTTAATAGTTTGAGAACGTAGTTATGAACAGATACTGCATTGTAATAGAGTTAATAGTATTAAAAAATTAGCTTGAAGTTATAATGAAAATATAATAAACGTTAAAATAAAAAGGGTAATTTCATAATTGTGCATTTGTCTTCTCCTTTAATTTTTAACTTACCCAACAATTTGTACATCTTTGAATCTTTAGTAGTCCACGGCAAATTATGATGTGCATCCGTATGCACCATGCATTGTGCATACGGATGCAAAAATGACGTCGTTTTATTAAAAACGCGCGTCTCCCCTTAAAAAAAAAAAATCAGGTTCGATTCCCAGCAACAACATATGAATTAAAATTTCATAATCGATGAACTATAATTCCATAATCAATGAATTATAATTCCATAATCTAATCTATGAACTAAAAATTTCAGAATGAATGAACTAAAATTCCAGAATCTATGAACTAAAATTTCAGAATCGATGAACTACAATTCCATAATCGATGAACTATAATTCCAGAATCAATGAACTAAAATTCCATAATTTATGAACTAAAATTCCAGAATGAATGAACAACATAATGTTGTTGCTGGGAATCGAACCTGAATTTTTTTTTTTAAGGGGAGATGCGCATTTTTAATAAAATGACGTCGTTTTTGCATCCGTATGCACCATGGATGCACAACATAACTATCCGTAGTCCACAAAGAGTTATTGGGCCAGCAAAAGAATTAGGATACGGGACAGACTTAATAAAGGGTAGCATTTGTAAATCTCACTTAATTGTGTTAATTAACTTGTTAAATTACAATCGAGTAGTGTGCTAACGTGAACTGAGGTGTTGGGCTATCTTTAGGCAAATTATGCCATGAGCACGTGCCCACCAGGCTCTCGGCCCTGGGTAAGGGCAGGCTAGGCCCTTGCTCAGGACCCCATGCTTGGAAGGGACTCACTACCCTATATCATTACCTCTTATATATATTATATTATAGAAATGTCGTATAATTATTTAGTATACATTTATATTAATGCTTTTTGAGTTTGCTGAGTTGGTAAGGCTTAGCATTTTAATCCGCATGGTTGAGGTATCAAATTCCCCTTATGTAATTTTACATAAAAATTTTCCCCTTTACTATTTTGTAGATAAATTTAAGAATTTTATTATATTAAGATTTGAGTTGGTTGAGTTGGTAGGACTTGTAGTTTCCATTGCTCATGTTCTAGGGATCAAATCATTTCACATAACATTTTCCAACAATTTATTTATTTCTATTTCTAATTTGTATTTTTCTAAATTTAATTTGTAACTTTGTGATTTTGTTACCTTTTTATAATTATAGTGAGATTTATAATATAGATTGATTTATAATTCATATAAAATATTTAATCTATTTCTATTCAAGTAATTTACTACTTATATTTAGAATATTTGTTCTTTTGTGAACTTTATAATGAGTTATGTATATGTAATATATTTCTATTTCTAATTTGTATTTTTCTAAATTTAATTTGTAACTTTGTGATTTTGTTACCTTTCTATACTTATAGTGAGATTTATATTATAGATTGATTTATAATTCATATCAAATTTTGAATATATTTCTATTCGAGTAATTTACTACTTATATTTAAAATATTTGTTGTTTTGTTAATTTTATAATGAGTTATGTATATGTAATATATTTTGTGATTTAGTTATAAAAAATATTTTAAAAGATAATTTATGAATCTACTGTATTTAAATTATGATGCAAGGTGGGCATGTGCTCACAACATAACGTTCCCTATTTTTATCATGCAATACTCTCTTACTTTTAAAAGCGGAGTCTACTCCCACATTATTAAATTTACAATTTATTCATTATTTTCTTTATATCCTTACAATACTTTCTCACTTTAAAAATAGTCTCACTTTCAAATCACATTATAATATAATAACCAAATAATAATATAATACTAAAAAAATAAATAAAAGGCAAAAACTTGTGTGAAATCGTCTCACGTATCTTTTGTCCGTGAGATGGGTTGGGTAATATGAAATGTAATACTTATACTAGTAAATGTAATACTAAATCAATAATAAAATGTTTATTACTTATATAGGAAAATGTAATATTTTTGAGGAAAAATGAAATACTTTTACATTATTACATCTTTCATCAAAAGTATTACATTTGCCTTTATAAGTGCAACATTACTTACAAGAGAAAAATATAATACTTTTGATGAAAAAAAGTAATACTTTTACAACAAAATATAAAAGTATTATATTTGTCATCAAAAGTATTATGTTTTCCCTTACATGTCGTTTGGTTGGAATGGGAGAATTACGTGGGAATGGAATTGCAATTCCGTGGGAGATGAATTACTGGGAATTTAAATTCCAGTGTTTGGTTTACGGAAATAGAATTACTGGGAATTTTAATTCCAATGTTTGGTATACATGAGAATTGAAAGAAAATAAGTAGTATAAAGTCCAAAATGCCAATTATTGTTGTGGTATTAATTTTAGGTTTAAAAAAAAGGATAATTTTGTCTCATCACTAGCTTTTTTTCTTCCTAAAATCCCAGGAATTAAAATACTATGGGGGGACATGGAATTTTAATTCCATGAAAATGGGGGAATTGCAATTCCTTCCAACCAAACTAAGGAATTTTATGGACTTTGAAATTAAGTGGGAAGAGAATTTAAACTCCCTCCAACCGAACGCCCTGTTAAAGTAACAAACATTTTATTTCTGATTTAGTATTACATTTGATAATATAAATATTATATTAACTCGACTTATCTCACGAATAAAGATATTTGAGACAATTTCACACAAATATGATCAAAATAAAAAGTACAAAAAACTGCCAAATGGTAGTCTTCTGTACTATTTGAACGGGTTCAAATTGTGAAAGCTTCCATTCCATGTAGGATAAAAAATACAATTTTAAATAAAAATAAAAATGCCACATAGACTTGCAATGAGAGAACTTGCAGGGATAAAGCTATTGTTATGAGCTGAAATATATATTCTTTTTCTCTTTTGGCTATTGTTTCTTTTGTGTTTATATTATTTATGATGAAGTGCAATTAAAATAATATATCAACATTACTATAATTAAACTAGTTTGTGAAAAATGATAGAAATAAAAAATAGAGCTAAAACAATAATGTATATTATCAAATGAAACTATAGTAGAATTAAAATGATGCTTTAATTTAGTATTTCTATAATGAAACTAGTGGGGAGGGAAAATGAAATTAAAAAAAAACATAACAATATTGTCAAATGAAACTGAAATGTAATTAAAATGATACATACTTCATGGTCCACACTGCTACATAGACCATGGTCTACAGTATAATTTGCCACATTATGGAAATATTACCCGATATTCCAAAAGTTTTGAACTAGATTTGTTTTTTTTTTAATTTTTTTTTTATGTAAACCACAACGTGAGAATTGAACTCAGATTATCTCGAAATTCTCCCCCACAAAGAAATCTCATTTGTCACTTGAGTTACCCTATTGGGTTGAACTAGATTTAATTTGATTTGTTTGAAAGGTATGTATACTAATAATAATGTACTTCCATTATCCCATTTTATTTGTTTGGTTTTGTTAATCATACTTAATTAAAGATATTTTTAATTTAAATTTTTATAATATTAACTTTAATATTAGTATATAAAATTAATTTATTTTAAAATTACATCAAAAGTATTATTAAACGTAAAAAAATTTGTATTTAAAAATAATTTTAAAAATACTAAAACAAGAAGAAGAAGGAGTTGGTTTTATTGATCCAATTAACCTAAATCTTACCTATATTGCAAATACTAACAATGTATGTACAATTACCAGCCATTTTGAAGTGTAGCATGGGACATGTAACGTTATGCGGTGAGCACGTGCCTTTTCATATTCATAATTTTTATATTGTAGATTCATAATTTTTATACTGTAGATCCATAATTTCTATACTGTAGATTCATAATTTCTAAACCGTAAGATTCATAATAATTTAAATACGGAATAAGGATCAAATAGGCCATCAAACTGCACACGATAATTTAATTAGGCCACTGAACCTAAAAAACCAACAATTGGTCCCTAAACTAACCAATTTCAAACAATTTTTTCATTTGAAGGTTTGCAACAGGTTAACTGGTGAATTTGTATAAAATAAACTCAAAGTATAAAATCTATCTCAAAAGAATATTCTGATGTTAGGTGAATTTGTAGAGAGGATAGTTTTGTAAATGGGCACGTGAATTTCATCTATATAAACCCCCAGACCAGAAAAGCTAGAGTGCACAAGTGCATATATAGGTGAGTAAAACTACAGTAGTATTAAGCTATTCCGTCATTTCGATCTACTCTCATCTTCTCATCTATCTCAGCTCACATCTAAACCAGGTAATTAAGTACAAATTATATTTGTAAACACGATATGATGATAATGCTGCATCTTTCACTCAATCATCTATCTAAATTTCGTCCTTCTCATAGGTTATTACAGGAAAATTATCTGTTTTCTGCTACAACACTTTCTTATTTCTCAGCCGCACAGCCCAACCACCATTTTCCAGATCCTCCGTCCTCGTCGGAGCACCGTCGTGGTGGTCCGGCGGTGTTTTTGAGTTTTAGAGGAAAAGACACTCGCCGGGGCTTTGTTAAGTCCCTGCACGAGGCTTTGTGTTGTGCAGGGATCGCAGCGTTCAAAGACGACGTTGATCTGAAAGGAGGTCGGATCCAGCGAGGGCTGATGGATGCCATTCACAACTCCTGGGTTTTCATCCCGGTCATTTCTTCCAACTATGCCTCCTCGAAGTGGTGCCTTGAAGAGCTCGCGGAAATCATGAAATGCGTGAAAATGGAGAAGAGGACTGTTTTTCCGGTGTTTTATGATGTTCGGCCGACGGATGTCCGGCACCTCAAGCCTCCGTTCTCCGCCGCGTTTGCACAGTTTCAGGATTGCCGGAAGGTGAAGGTATGGAAGCGTGCCCTAAGTGAAGTAGCCGACTTTTCGGGATTTGACCTCATCGACACCTACCAGAGGTAAGTATATATATATATATATATATATATCTATACATATATATACTAGATCTAACTAGCTACTTTATATATTTTTATCTTCTGATCTGATCTCCAACTAAAATGGCTCTTCCGATCCAATGAAGCTTTAATTTTACAGCTATTATGAGCTTCTCCGTCAAAACTCGGGACTTACTCTGATACCAATTGTCCATCCTCAACTGCATGCTCATCATCTTATAACTGTGTCACGATTTCAATGGCAGAATATTGAACTCGACTCTCCAAGTCATCGTCTAACATGAAGCTCAGCTCAGTCTTACTTTCTTCTACCCAATGCAACCTCCAGCTGCCTGCAGGGTACATACTTCAATTCTTTTCTTCACCACCGGCGCGCCGCCGCTTCTGGCCTCGCCGCCATGGTGCCGCCGCTTTCGGCCTCGTCGACATCCCGGCCTGCACCGCCTCCAGGCCATAACTATATCTCAAGTCTCTGCTAAGCATGAAATAAACCGAAACTATACTATAAGGCCGGCCATCACGTACTACTATATCTCTGATCTCAACTTCAACATGGCCTTATAGTATTTCTTTATTATTAATATAACGCAGGTCAGGTTACTTATATATATATATATATTAGGGCTTATTTGTTTCTGCTACTTATGTTATATGTTGGTGACGTTATTTAATTTGTTTGAATTTTGATAAATAGGGATGAAGCGAAATGCATTGAAGATATAGCCCAAGTAGTCGGGAAGAAAGTTGAAGCATTAAAGAGAGAAAAGGTTGAATATCATCAGGCTGCATTAAGCTTACTATCCAGAATGTAATTGTCAAAAGATCAATGATGATCTTTTTTGTGGGGATCCACTGGCTATACGACCATTGGCAGGGTCACGGGATTAGTATGGGTTGATTGGTAGAATAATGAGGCAAACGTAACTGAGTTGTGCGGTTTTAACGTGCGTCAGTTTTGTACTTTTAAGTGTGCGAGTCTTGTGCTTAATGTGTGTGGGTATGTGTTTAATATGAGTTATTGTTGAAACTTAAGTGAGTGAGTTTTGTGCTTAAGGTGCATTAGTTTTGTGCTTAACATGCATGAGTTTGTGTTCTGAAGTTGTTTTGTTTGTGTACTTAATGTGCGTCCAATCGCACAACTGCACGGAAAGTCCCTCCCGCACCTGATCCCTTATATATATATATATATATGGAAGGATTCAGGTGCGGGTATAGCTTCCCGTGCAGTTGTGCGGTTAGATCTGAGCCGTTGATCAAATTTAGATCAACGGCTCAAATCAATGAAAATTAAAAAAAAAAAAAAAAAAACGCGCGCGTGTCTGGAAGAAGGAAGCATAAGCTAAAAATGACGCACCTTAAGTGATAGAAACACGCACCTTAAGTGTTAGATCTTAAGCACAAACTCACGCACATTAAGTACAAAATCCACACATTAAGCGCAACCTCACGTACATTAAGCACAAAACCCACGCACTTTAAATATTAACTCGCAGACTTTAAGTTTCAATAACTACTGACATTAAGCACAAACTCACGCACATTAAGTACAAAACCCACACACATTAAGTACAACCTCACGCACATTAAGCACAAAACCCACGCACTTTAAATATTAACTCACAGACTTTAAGTTTCAACAACTACTGACATTAAGCACAAACTCACGCACATTAAGTACAAAACTGCATATATTATACCTGGTCTGCCAATTTTGTTGAGCATTTTACCCGAATTGATTGGTTAACTTTCCCGTTTGAATCCTCATCATCACCTTACTTTTAATAGCAAGTCTTATTGTTGATGATTATATCCAATAATGAGCTGTGTCTAAGGACCGTTATATTTAATAATTTGAGTTTTGTCTGCATGCTGGAAGAAATTGATCTGAACAATTCAAGAGAGAGAGAGAGAGAGAGAGTTAAGGCATAAAATAATTAAATAGTTACAGTTTATTAAGTACAAAGCTAAGGGATATTATCGATGGGAGACATGCATGCAAAACATTGCTACCCTACCATGTTGAATCCATCTACGTACAATCACTACAGCAGATCCAGAAGCAAATCTACCGTTCCGTTGCCGACAAAGTAACTTTAATTTGTGGCACGCCTTCCATCGTTTTTGTGTTGTTTTGTACCACATCGACAGATGTAGGAGTGGGAGGGTAGTGAGCGTAGAATAAAAGGCGAGGCAAGCAGGCAGCATAAACCATCTTTGCGCTTGGGGCAATGACGCAGCTAGTGAGGTTCTAACCGAGGCGCGTCTATTGTTGGTTGAAAACTATTTCCAAACCCCCTCTATGGCTTAGGTTCACCCTAAGCCTTAGAGAATTTTTGGAAGGGTTACCTTTTTTGGAAGCCTTGCAATTTTAGTCCAAAATTATGTATTCATTTGTTTCTTCACATGTTAATTTAAGTAATTTTCTGAACTCTAATACCAGATTGTTTATGATGACTTCATAAGCATTCTTAAGATCCAGAGAAGTGTTCGCAAGATTGTTTATGATGACTTCATGACCATCCCTAAGGCCCAGAAAATTGTCATGTTTGTGTAAACATTGAAAAGTTATACTATAAATGATCAGGAAACACACCTTGCAAATCTCAGCTCAAATCATTATTCATATTATATACGGTTACTATATTATGTATGTACCAAAGCACTTATCCTACAAGAGATAGGTACAACGATAATAGGCTTATCCTACAAGAGATAGGTACAACGATAATAGGCAGGTGGAGACATGGAAGCGATGCCCCCATGAAGCCACAGACATTTTAGGGTTCCACATTTTTAAGGCCTACAATTGGTAAATTCTAACGTAATTATATTGGAGATATTTAACATATGAAATTATTCTTCCCAAACATATGAAATTATGAATACGTACATGCAAATTATATCGTGGGCTTGGATCTACTTTGTATGGTAGACCTTAATTTAAAATGGTTGATAGTTGATATTGGTTTGGTACGGCCGAAAAAGGTATGTGGCTTTTACGTTTCGATTTCCATGTAAAAATTATTCGTGCTAATTTATTTTCCAACAAATGTATTGAGTTAATTCCCATAATGGTCCTCCAACTATGACTTTTTTCTGAAATTAGTTCCATAACTTGTAATTGTACTCAAACTGGTCCTCCGACTATTGAAATTTAAGTCATATTAGTTTTCCTTTAGCATTAACGTCAAGTTAGTATTAAAATGGAGGGAAAAAAAAATGAGAAATCCAGGTCATGTACTCCATTTTAATCAGATTGTGACTTCATTTTTAGAAATTGCGAAATCTTTTCGTAAAAACTAAGTATTTTTCTCCTCAAATTGCAATCAAATGTATGATATCATCAACAACAAATCCAAAATAATTCATCTTCATCTTCAAACTTTCCAAGGTAAAAGTTTCACTATGGAAATGTTGTCCTGGTTGTTTTTGTCATTTATTATTAGATGCTTCAATAAATTTAATAACTTAATTATTATAAATATTAGTAATTTAGTATACATATACATATGTGTGTATTGTATATGAATAATTATTAACAATCATCATAGTAACATTGTTATTTTGCTCTTAGTTATTTCATGAAACTCTTGCACACTTAACTGTAAATTTGGAATTTGTTTGTAACTTGAATGTAGACATGGAGCAAAAAATATGTTCGACGTACTCTGTGTCGGTACTGGGACAGGTTTGAGTATTTTTCATATTTGACTATCACTCGTTCGGATCTTTCTTTTACGGTCAATCGTCTGTGCCAATTTATGCACGCCCCGACTGTTAAGCATTGGGGCCTACTGAAGCGGGTTTTGAGATATGTGAAGGGCACGATGTCCTACGGTCTTCGCCTAGCAGCGTCACACTCTGCTGACGTTCAATGCTTTTTCCGACTCCGATTGGGCTGGGTGTCCGATGGACCGTAAGTCTACTAGTGGATATGACGTTTTCCTTTTAACCAATCTGGTGTCTCGCAAACAGCGTACCGTAGCACGGTCCTCGACTGAAGCTGAGTACAAGGGTCTGGCCGATGTTGCAGCTGAAGTTACGTGGGTTGTGTCTTTACTGCGGGAGCTCGATTTGGACTCTGGTCGGCCGGCTACACTCTGGTGTGATAATCTCGGTGCCACCTACCTATGTGCTAATCCGGTGTTTCACGCTAGGACTAAGCATGTCGAGATTGATTTTCACTTCGTCCGCGACAAGGTAGCTTCCGGGGATTTCCAAGTCAACTTCGTGTCCACAAAGAATCAACTAGCGGACATCTTCAGAAAGCCTCTGACGGGACCGCGTTTTGAGACTATTCGGGACAAGCTCAATGTTGTTTTCCTCCAACTTTGTGCTTGAGGGGGTGTATTAGATATATTAAGATAGTGTGTGGCTATAGAATTATTCCTTACACAATATCCTTTTATGTAGGGTATTTGTATATTACTACCTTTGTAATATCTAAGGGTCTGTTTGGAAAGCAGGAAAATGACTTATGGAAAATGTTTTATGAAAAATGAGTCATTTTTCAGAAAACATTTTCCTTTCCGGTGTTTGACTGCACAACGGAATATGTTTGGTTCATTTTTCAGAAATGAATAGGAAAACGACCAGAATTGTATGATTCAATTATTTTTATTTCTTCCATCATTTTTTATTTTTATATAATTTGATAAGTTCATTTTTTTTTTAAATTTTATGCTCTGCTTGTTCTTCTTCCCTAAAATTGTATGCTCTGTTGTGTTCTTTCCTGGCTTGCAATTCAGAAAAATAGAGTAATTTGTTGTGTTCTTCCCTGGCTTGCAATTAAAAAAATAGAGTAATTCAATCAAAACAAATAAGCACATAAACCCAAAACAACCACCTCCATTTCTACACAAATCAGAGAAATTGATTTCACAAATTAAAAAATAAAAATTACTGAAGGATAAAAAAAATAAAATCACAAACATCCAGGAAACCAGTGGCTTTGATTTCCGGCTGCGAGCCGAAAACCAGTTACGAGTGATTTCCGACTAAGGAAACCAGTTTCTGGTTTCCGCAGTCGGGGTTTCCGATGCGAAAACCAGTTAACTGGTTTCCACATCGGAAACCATCTCTGGTTTCCGCATCGGAAACCATCTCTGGTTTCCGCATCGGAAACCAGTGATGAGGCTTCTTCGGTGGAGGGTGGAGATTTTCCGGTGATGGACCGGTGGAGGGTGGAGATTTTCCGGTGATGAATTTGTTGGTGGAGTATGCTTTTGTGCTGATGGAGGCGTGGAGATTGCAGGTTCCACGTGCGTTGATGAAGATAGAAAATGACTTCTCAAAAAAAAAAAAAAGAGAAGTCATTTTTCAAAAAAAGTAGAGTGATTTTTCATTAATTTTGAGTTATTTTCCTTTAACTCTTCTTTTCTTTACTAGCCAAACACCAGAATTCGAAAAATGATTTCAGAAACCATTTTTCAAGTTTTCAAAGACACCCTAAGAGATAATTATCAATCTAACTAATTTCCTGGCTACCTAACATAAGTACATACCCAATAAGAACAGTATAAAGGCGGCAGAATTCACGAACCAATCACCAAATGGCCGCCTCTGAAGTGAGTGTAGCAGAGGACCCTCTGTTCCCAAACGCCATTGTTGAACATGCCGTTAACTACAAAGGCCGTCCAGTCGGCCGAGCCAACTCCGGTGGATGGAGATCGGCGTCATTCATTATAGGCAAGTATACCCTCACCTACTCCATATTTGAGCACAATTTTCCTAGTTCTTTGCGAGGATTCGATGCTAAAGTTCTAATTAATTCGCATAGGTGTGGAAGTGGCGGAGAGGTTTGCATACTACGGAATCAGCTCCAACCTAATCACCTACCTGACGGGGCCGCTGGGTCAATCCACCGCCACGGCGGCGGAGAACGTCAATGCCTGGTCTGGAATGGCGATGCTGTTGCCGCTTCTAGGTGCGTTCGTGGCAGACTCATTTCTCGGCCGATTTCGCACCATTATCGTTTCATCCCTTCTGTATATCCTTGTATGTACTGTTCCAACCCTACTAATCGTCTAATTGCACATAAATTTTAGTGTTTCTTGTCAATTTGATGCAATAGTTTAGTTATTCTTGACCACAAAATGTGAAATCCCTAGCCTCAGGTCGCTACAGGATTTGTGGTGGTTGTAAATCACGGTGACTTAGATGCTCATTAGGTAGGAGAATCAGTGTCTGGTGCCCACAAGGCCACGAGGAGTACACCACATTGGGTGTAACTCTCACACTGCGGCTGTTAGACCCCGATCCTGTGTCCTTACCCACAATCTGCAGCTCAAGAACCACTTGAACTACTTGTGTGGGTAATAGTTTAGTTATTCTAGTCTCAACTGTTGTAGCACTTGCTTTTACCATTTTCTAGTCTAATAAATTTGGAGTTGATAATGTCTTCAATTGGGTATAAAATTTATCTTGATGCCTGATGAATCACAGGGACTTGCCTTTTTAACCCTTTCTGCTGTCCTTCCGTTCAGCAATTCCGACTGCAAAACTGGTGCAGACATTAAAGCATGTTCTCCTCCTCAACTCCAGATTATCTTCTTTTTCTTTGCACTGTATCTAGTAGCTCTTGCACAAGGAGGGCACAAACCCTGTGTTCAGGCTTTTGGAGCTGACCAGTTTGATGTGCATGATTCAAGGGAGTGCAAACAGAAAAGCTCCTTCTTCAACTGGTGGTATTTTGGCATATGTTTTGGCGCTTTTGTTACTATCTTGGTGATGAGTTACATTCAAGATAACCTAAGTTGGGGTCTTGGCTTTGGGATTCCTTGCATTGTCTTGGTTCTTGCACTAATCATATTCTTACTAGGAACTACAACTTATCGGTTCAGTGCCAACCACAACATGAAAAACCCATTCATGAGAATTGGTAAAGTATTTGTCAAAGCAGTAAAGAATTGGCGGATTCCGCAATCTGTAATTTGCATAGAAGAGGAAAGTCATGGAATCCCTCCCTGTTCCCAACAGTATCGGTGAGTAAATGTTTCTTTGATATAAATTTATGCGGTCCATTCCCTTTGACATCTCTTCGGTTTATTGAATCTACCAGCCTGTAAATGACAGGTTCCTTAACAAAGCAATGCTTGCTCCCAATGATTCGCAAGATGGGGAGGTTTGCACCATCAGCAATGTTGAAGAAGCAAAAGCAGTTCTAAGTCTTGCTCCAATATGGATTTCTTGTTTGGTGTATGGGATTGTATATTCCCAGTCAGAAACTTTATTCACCAAGCAGGGCTTCACAATGGACAGGTCCATAGGTAAAAATCTTGAAGTCCCAGCTGCTGCTCTTCAATGCTTCATTGCCTTTACCAGTCTTTTCTTGGTCCCCTTCTATGACTGCATATTCGTTCCAATTACCAGAGCCATCAGTGGGAAGCCCTCAGGGATAACAACACTTCAACGAGTTGGGGTCGGGTTATTTCTATCAATTGTCACGATGGCGATAGCAGCTCTGGTCGAAAGCAGGCGCCTCAGAGTTGCTCGAGCATATCAGTTGGTCGATTTGCCTGAGGCAACAGTTCCAATGAGCGTGTGCTGGTTAATACCTCAGTACGTATTATATGGAATTTTTGAACTATTCGCCTCGGTTGGTATGCAGGAGTTTTTCTATGATCAAGTGCCAAACGACCTGAGAAGCATTGGGCTTGCTCTTTTCCTCAGTGTGTTTGGGGTAGGGAGCTTCCTAAGCAGTCTTCTCATTTCTGTCATTCAGAAAGCAACCATTAATGGGGAAGGTAGTGAAGGGTGGATCTCCGACAACTTGAATAAGGGACATCTGGATTACTTCTATTGGCTACTGGCATTGCTTAGCACAGTCGCATTCGCAGTCTACCTGTACTTCTCGAGATCATACATGTATAGTCAGAAGTGTGCTAGTTGATGCCACCGGGGTTAACTCAGATCAGTTGGTTTGATTGATCACCCTAAAGCTTTGCTCCAGTGGTAGTGTGGGGATGCAATGGTTTGATTGATCACCCTAAAGCTTTGCTCCAGCGGTAGTGTGGGGATGCAAGTCCTATTGTGAATCTGGAAGTCCTATTGGGAATCTGGAGGGTTATTAGGAGACCTTAACCGATTAGAGGTGATGAAGATTCTTTGTGTGCAGAGTGCACAAGCAAGGGTGGATTCCTGATTTAGCTGGTATTGTGATACCTGAGAAGAAATGGCTGAAACATGTTGAGATAGTGTTATTATGATTTATGAAGTATATGTAAAAATATAATTTATAGCTATATTTAAAAAAAAACATTTGTAATTATATTTTTAAGTAATAGAGTTAATTACACATTTAAATATGGACTATGATAGTATTTTTAACTTACTTTTCAAAAAGTAATTTGATTAGGGAAAATTCCACTATTAATCTCAGAATTATTGTGCCATCTCCCATTTAGTCATTAACTTTACAACAAGATTTGCATTTGTTAATGTTTTATAATTAGAGTTGGCAATTTATTTATTTTTGACAAACCTATTTCTCTGTATTCTTTTACAAACTCGTGCACGTACTTCACCTAACCTAAAAATTAATCTAGACATTTTTACCTCTAACATGCATTTTTAAAATAAAAAAAAATCTAATGGTTTTTATTTTTATTTTTATTTATGCGAGTCAATTATAGACAACTTGATTGATTTACTTTATTGTGGTCATTTGATGGATAGAATTAGCAGGCGGAGTTCATCCAGTACACACCCGCCTCGGATAGTGTGTGTGTTTCCGTCGTCACAAAAAAAATGATTTCAAACATTTGTTTTAGAATTTCAATTACAAGTAATTTCATTTTTTTTTAGAATTGCAATATTATTATTATTTTGTTAAATTCTGAACTATAAGAAAAAAAAAACTTACAAATTAATCAAGTATTTTTAGAATTGAATTATTTTTACACCTTTCATTTTTTTTATAAAGACATTTTATATAATTGATGTAATATAACATTCAATCAAACAAGTTAATCTTACATTCTCCTAACTTTGCATAACCTTTCTAGAGATAATTTTATGAGATAATCTAAAATTGACAAAATGACTTATCTCCAAAAAAATAAAAATAAATAAAAAATCTAAAATTCACCAAATGACTCACAGCAATTTTGACCCCACCCCCCAAAAAGGAAATTATTTCTCCTAAAAAGTGAACTGGACATAGACTAATAGACACAGACACAGAGTCCACACAATGATACAGTATTTTATGGGCCAAAGCAAGCAACAGTGCAACACAAAGTGACAAAAATGGCTGCAATTATTTGTTGACCGATGAACCCCCACTCTTCCCTTGACTTTGGGCGCAGAGACGTCGTGGTGGACGTCTCCTCTCTATGGCCGCCACCGGAACAACCATCCTTTCCGACGCCGAAACCCCATTTCTCCACCAAGACGTCGTGGATGGCTCTGTCGATTTCAAAGGCCGCCCCGCTGCCCGATCCAGAACGGGGCGGTGGCGATCCGCATCCTTCATCATAGGTAAAATCACCTTCAATTTCCCGTTCTAGGTCCACCGGAAACTGTCATTTGTTTTTGTTTTCTTAAATAAATAAGCTATTGTTTGCGATGATGTTTCAGGTGTGGAAGTGGCAGAGAGGTTTTCCTATTATGGAATAAGTTCGAATCTGATAAGCTATCTCACTGGGCCTCTCGGCCAATCGACGGCGGCGGCGGCGGCCAATGTCAACGCCTGGTCCGGAGTTGCGTCGCTTTTGCCGCTTTTGGGTGCCTTCCTGGCCGACTCATTTCTTGGTCGGTACCGGACAATTGTGATCTCCTCCCTGCTCTATACCCTGGTTAGTTCCACTTAACCACCATGCTTTCACTTTTTTCTTCTTCACTTTGTGTTTAGCTCATAGTTTACCAGCCTGCTCTAATGAAATCCTTGAAAATGGTACAAGTATGTTTTATCCTTAGCTGATTGCGTATGGATTCACTTCAAATCCACTCCGTGCTCACCCCTAGTCTCCATTTCAGTGAGGTACCGGGTGTTTGGTAAATGGCTGTTAGCGGATAATGCTGTTAGCTGATTGGGTTAGTGAGTTAGTTAATAGCGTTAGCTGATTGTAAAAAAGTGTTTGGTAAATTAACTGTTAGATGATTACATACAAAATGACTTTCTCAAAAAGTTTATCGAGCAACTTGAATTTTACCATTATGGAATAATAAGTTGTTACAAAAAGCTAAATTTTAGCATTATGGAGTAATAAATTGTTATAAAAAAGCTAATTAATCAAACACTCATACTCATTGTTTAACGAAGTCAAACAGCTAATAGTGGTTAAATAAGCCAAAACTGACTGATTAAGGTTAACTATTTTACCAAACAGGGCCATAGTAAATTAGTAATAATAAAGGAAAACAAGGAAAGAATGATCATCCTCCTAGTTATTGGAAATGTCTCCTGCCATTAGTGAAGTTAATAAAGTTGGTCATTGTACATTCATAGTAAAATTTTAAATGGTTTATATTCTTGCCTTTGTTAACTACAGATGTTTAATATGGGTCTGTTAAACTGCAGGCGCTGGGCTTCCTGACCATCTCTACTGTGCTTCCTTTCGAGTCTTCTGACTCTCAAAATGGTGCAGGCTCTCCTCCTCAGTTCCAAGTTATCTTCTTCTTCTTTGCTCTATACCTTGTGGCACTAGCACAAGGTGGGCACAAGCCTTGTGTTCAAGCTTTCGGGGCTGATCAGTTCGATACTCAAGATCCGCAAGAATGCAAAGCCAAAAGCTCGTTCTTCAACTGGTGGTATTTCGGGATGTGCTTTGGCGTTATGGTTACACTCTGGATTTTGAACTATGTTCAGGACAACCTTAGTTGGGGTCTCGGGTTTGGTATCCCTTGTGTAGTAATGGCTCTTGCTCTTGTTATCTTCTTGCTTGGGACTTTTACTTATCGTTTTCGCCAAGACAGAGATGAGAAGAATCCGTTTGTGAGAATTGGCCGTGTATTTATCTACGCCGCTAGGAACCACAAGACTAGCTCTGCAGCGATAGCCTCGGAACAGGAGACTCAGGGAATTCTACCTAATGAAGGTTCTCAGCAGTTCAAGTAAGTAAACACTAGTTTGACTATATAGGTAGAAGAAATGATCTTTTTACCCCTATGCATTCCCTAAACTCTGCAAGTATATGACAACTAACAACTGACTAGGGGTGCAAACGAGCCGAGCTTGAACCTAGGTTGGCTCAAGTTCGAGTTTGAAAAATTTATGGTGACTCAAGCTCGAATTTGATCAAGCTTTAAAATGTAAGCTTGAGTTCGGCTCGTTAATTTTTATACAGCTCAAGCTCAGTCAATCATTATTGTGTAGACCATGGTCCACACAAGTTGTGTGGACCATATTTTGTATACTGTAAAATAATGTACATTCAATACAAAAATAATGTATATTCAGTACAAAAATAATGTACATTGTATTCAGAGGATGTACATTGTTTTTGTACTGAGTGTACATTATATTGTATAATGTACACTCAGTACAAAAATAATGTACATTTAGTATATTAAAAATGTACTTTTTACTATGGTTCACATAAATAATTTGCCAAGCTTAGTTCGATTGGCTTGAATTGGGCTTAAGTTTTTTTTATTTTGTGCTCGATGAACCACGAGCCAAAAATATTTAAGCTCGAGCTCGTCTTGACTCGAATTTGACCAATCTCGAATCGAGCTTTGACCAGGCGGCTTGACTCATTTGCATCACTACAAGTGACTGTGGGCTAGCATACCGACTTGGTAGAGCTGGGGCATTCAAAAGGCGTTTTACTGCACTTGTAGGAATGTGATGATTGGCTATAGCACTTTGATATTCAAGAGACCATATTTTTCTATCTCTAATTAAATTTTTGTTAATCAAAGGTTCCTTAACAAGGCACTGCTTGCTCCCGATGGTTCAAAGGAGGATGGAGAAGTTTGTAGCATGAGCGAGGTTGAAGAAGCTAAGGTCATTCTCAGATTGGCTCCGATATGGGTGACATGTTTAGTGTATGCCATCGTGTTTGCACAGTCATCTACTCTATTCACGAAGCAAGGAGCTACGATGAATAGATCTATTGGTTCGAATCTTCAAATACCCCCTTCTACACTCCAAACTTTCATTAGCCTTTCTGTTGTCATCTTTATCCCTATATACGACTGCATTTTTGTTCCCGTTACACGAGCTGTAACTGGAAAGCCCTCGGGAATAACAATGCTTCAAAGAATTGGAACGGGAATCCTTTTATCTGTCGTCTCTATGGTGATTGCAGCTATAGTAGAACAGCAACGTCTTCAAATTGCTTCGGACCACGGGTTAATTGACAAGCCCGATGCAACGGTTCCCATGAGCGTGTGGTGGCTAATACCCCAGTACGCATTGTTTGGCATTTCAGATGTATTCACCATGGTCGGGCTACAAGAGTTTTTCTACGATCAGGTGCCCAAGGAGCTGAAAAGCATAGGTCTCGCTTTGTACCTCAGTATATTTGGCATCGGGAGCTTCTTGAGCAGCTTTCTCATCTCTATCATCGAGCAAGCCACCGGTAAAGATGGCGGAGACAGTTGGTTTTCTGACAACTTGAACAGGGCGCATCTTGACTACTTCTACTGGCTCCTCGCCGGACTTTCTGCACTTTCATTGCTTGCATACTTGTATTTTTCAAGATCTTATGTCTACAACAAAGCCATTGTGATATAAAATGCTTGGGCAATCTTTGTACTATCTTGAACTTGTAATGTATTAGTTATGCCATTTTATGAACTTGTAAGTATTAATTAATGTACTAATCAGTATGCTTGGACGATTATATTGTAGGTTCATATGTAATTTTGGATATTGTGGTTTATGATTTGTGAGCTTGATTATCTACTTGTATTAATATGTTGTAATGAATTTGTGTAGTTAAACTTTTTGAATCAAGTTAATTTTATTATTTTTAGGCCTTTAAATTGTGAGAATTCAGTATATAAAATTTTGAATATTCTGTATGTAAATTGTGTATTTTTTGACTTAGATCCACCTTACAGGTGAACTCGGGTTCACAGAATAATTTGCTTACTTATATGTTCAAGCCCTAATATCATATATCGTGTGTAGAACTATTTAACTAAAGTCCAACCTAATTTCGGGTCTTTCTCTGTCCGTTTAACCGTTCAAGTCCATCCGGTTCGCTCCCAGGAGTTGGCCCAAAGGAAATTGTCACTTGTGAAAATCGAACTCGGATTATCCCAAAATTCTCCCCTACAACGAGAGATCATTTGCAACTTGAGCTACCCCTATTGTTAATACACAATATTCTTCCTTAGGTATGATTTTTTTAAATATTTCTCATGATATATCATTATGTACGTTTATATAGTTAGTAGGTTAATAGTACGAAATATTTAGTGATACATAGAGACACCTAAACGTGTATTACAAATGAAAGAAGCATATATCAACTCTTACTTTCTTCTTTTCTTTTATATTTTAGATTAGTGTGAAATCATCTGCATTTATTATAAATTTTGAGTTAGTTCATCATGCCCCTACCAATGTTGGTAGTTGAATGTATACCATATGTGGATATGCCGATGTATGTAAACTTTTTTTTTTGAAAGTCGATGTATGTAAACTAAATCTGTTCTTTTTAATATAAAAAAATAATTAGACTAAATCTGTTCTTTTTGTAAACTAGCACCCGTAACACAATTATACATGACACTATCAACAAAGAAGGAAGCAGACAAGCAATAAAGACGAAGACAATGACAAATCTATCCAAAAGCGAATTAACAAAACTTAGAGTAATTCCAACTAAAAGTAATATTTACTACATAATACCATATCAACTACAATAAATATTTATATAATTATTTTTTTAAAAGTGCAAATTAAATATTAATTTTAATGCAAACAATAATAAACTTCTCCTATATAATTTTTGTATTAATATATTTTGAATTACTTATATAAAATACAAATATTAGACATTAAATCAATGACGCAAAAGCTTATGCAAAATTAGTTTATAAGATAAGTGTAAATAAAGTCCTTAATTAATTGTTGTAACAAATACGAGCCTTAATAACAACCTATATATCTTTTATTTTTCATCCTTAGAAGAGTAAAATAGTAGCTTGTAAAAGTTGTTATATTGTTCATAAAGATATTTTTTTAGTGTAGAAATAGTTACTTTTGTGATTAATTAATTAAAACTCATTACAATAATAAATTAAATTTTTTATTTCAGTACTACTGATTATGTTATAATGAGAATTAATACCTATAATTTTCTATTTAAAAAAATCACTTATATCACTTGATTACAAGGTCATTGGCTGACATGAGCAAAAAACTTGCTCTTTCTTGTAATTTAGGAATATAAAATGTGACATTTTCAATTAGTAAATACAAATTATATATACAGGTAAGAAAAGAATAATATACAGTATTGGTATTGGGTGGAAAGCTAACAATCATCTAATCAATACAACTGGCATTCAGACCCTATTACTCATGAATCTCCTTAATCATCGCATTTTATTTCCACTACTTTTCAAGCTACTTTAATTTTTTCCAGCACTATTTCTTAAGAATGTAATCATACTTTTTTGTTTTAGAATATTCATTCTTTTTATTACTTGAAACTGGTCACATATTATTTCTAGTTTGACAATTTTTTTTTTTTTTGTTTTTCTATAATTGTTATAATGTTTAATATTTATTTATTTTTAATATTTTATATTCATTAATTACTGGTAAATACTGTTCTCAAGCTATATTTCTTTAAGAGTTGCTTCAAGTTTATTTGGAAAAGTTCAATATAGGGCAAAACAGCTTTTGGGACCCTGGTCTAAAAATATCGTCGTGAATATTATTAGTAAAAAATAACGTCATTTTTGGATCGTGGTCCACACAGATGTGTGAACCACGGTCCACACAATAACTATTGATATGACTATATATATCTATCAATTCTAAATAAATTGATAGTTTTTTTTTTTGCTAGTAGCTATATGGTGCAAAGTTCAATTCCTACTAAGACCCAAAAGGAGATGTATGAAATTAACTTTGTTGTGAACATTGGTTATATAAGTATCTATGAGTTTGTACACTATTTATCTCCCGTTTTGGTCGCATCCCAATTGAAGCACATCTTACGATTTATTTCATTTACCATCCATGAGTAGTGGGGGCGGGGCGGGGTGGGGTGGGGGGGGGGGGTCTTGGGTTAGGGTGCAATCCTTTATAGGACTATACATGACGTACATTTACCATCTATCCAACTATAATATGTCCACACGGATAGCTCAGTTGGTTCTTGGGTTGTAGGTTGTGCAAAAGAACTAACACAGAATTTAGTCTTTGAAAAGTGTGGGAGTTTCACCCAATGTGGTGGGCATATATGCACCAATTACTAGTCCTCACATCTAATGAACTGTTGAGTCATCGTGATTTACTTCTCTATTATCCAGCCAGGCCAAGACATGGGGTCTGAGAGTAAAAAAAATTCACCTTTTGTGAATCAACGCAACCATATATAATATAGATACAACACGTATGGATCCGCCCCACCCTAATGCAACTCCGATCCCAAAATCAAATTTAAAATGCATATATGTTTGTGAGCAGTGTAAGTAGGTGGTGGATGAGGGCCTGTTTGGAAGGAGGGTAAATTGTCAATTCAAAAGTGTAATGCTGCTCCCCATTTGGCATTACAAGTAGGGGCTTATGGCTTATCCCAAACACAATTAAGCGCTTTGCATTGGTTGCACGCACGTACTAGACAAACTGTGTTTTAATGTCAACCCAAACATTATTATGTGTACCCTCACAGACCAAACCCAATCTTCATCTATATATCATCACTATATATATTTTGAAGGACTCCACCAATATAATATGCAGTAGGGTCATGTTCCTGTGTGAATAGTGTTTTTCGTGCGGACGTGCGTCAAACATCATTAGGTGAGCATAAATACACCATAAAGTGTCTGAAAATACACATTATGTGTGGTGCATTTTTTTGGAGTGTGGTGCATTTTGTGGCATTTTATTATGGTGCATTTTCGAACACTGTGTGGTGCATTTATGCATACCTAATGGTGCAATTCGCACTGACTGTACGGGAAGTCATGTACTCATTTGAACCAAAATAATATGCCGTATTTCCAAAGGAAAAAAAAAACATTAAAAGACAAGCAAACATGAAACTATGATTACTTTGATGACTACATGTTGTATGCATGTGTGTGTGATTTTGAAAACTAAGTGCAATATAATGGTATCTTTGAATGAAGAAGATCCCAAGAAGAAGAGAATGATCCATGCTAAAGATAATCAAGTTAAAGTAACATCTTTTAGTAAAGGAAATACATACTAGGCTATGTTTTTGTGTTTCTGCTACCACTTTTTTGCAAGCAGATTTTTGTTTCTTTTAGGTGCCAATAGCCAAAAGGGATTGACCTCACAGGACCTATGATTGTAGATGGAGTTTCTTTTTCTTTTTTTCAGATGGTGTTTAAAATTCAAATAATTTGTCATTTTTTAAGAATAGGTTTCGCGAAATCTATCTCTAATTTTGCATGTGTTCATGTTCTGATTTACAAGCTAGCTATTTTGTCAACAGAGAATTTATGGGTAGGTAATATTGTTCTTGATATTGTTCTTGATATAAGTTTCGAGATCGTTAATTTATTGTAATACTCTGTATATATTATATTATTTTTCTGAAAGGACCCATACATATTATATATTCAACTCTAAGGGGGAGCGAGCTATTGACCTTTTGTTAGCTAATTTGGTCTCGAGTTAACAGATGACTAAATTGATTAAGATTTTTAAAGTTGAAGGCCATGACTTAATTAGTCAAAACAAATACTCAAGAACTAAATTGATAATTTTACTATAATTAAGAGACTCATTTCGATAGTTAACTCTAAAATCAAAGTAAAAGCACATTGTCTTATAACTATTATCAAAATCTCACATAAAAAAACTTATTTTCAAACATTCATTGTTCGTGAGATTCTAATACTACCCAATTCCCAACATTTAAATCATGTAAAAACAATGCATGTTTTATACGATGCTGGTCCCTAGACATTACTTGGTTACACAATTCTTTTGAATTTCATATTTTTTCAATATATATATATATATATATATATATTTCAAGTTTTTCTTTTTCATCTAAGCTAATTAATTAACAGCATGTGATATGATCGCTGTCAAAGATGGTCCCTAATATATATATATATATATATATATATATATATATATATATATATATATATATATATATATATATATGATCATAACAGTGTTATGCCACTGAGCACACACAACATCTCATCCAATCATTATTGTACTTGTTTAGTCTAGCAATTTATCTACGAACATTTTTATATATGTGCAAATTGATGTTCCAACTACATTAATTAATTATATTCTATATAACATGAAGTTATGGGTGGAGCAATCTTTAAAATTAAATGACACATTTATAGTCCATTATTGACTTAGAGAGTTGTATTATATATATACAATATACAATTCTTAATTTTAAAAAAATGCATAAATATAGTTAAAATTCTCAATTTTTTTCATAAAAAATAAAAAATAAAAATCAAGAGATCTATGATATCTTAAGGTATATATAAAGCTTCCCTTTTTAATCATGATGACATTTTAAAAAATAATACTCCGTAATAATAAAGGTAATAATTTAAAAATTATATATTTAAACCCTTCCAAAGTACGCAGCTTGGTTCTATTTAATATAACTTATAGGATTAGTCATTGTGTCCAACAGTAGAAATTTTAGGTACCAAAAAAAAAAAACTTATAAATTATTAATTCTATTTGGTGAAAAAACTATTAGTTTAAAATAAGTTA